CATGCGCCACCATGCCCAGCTAATTTTTTCTATATATTTTTAGTTGTCCAATTAATTTCTTTCTGATTTTAGTAGAGACGGGGTCTTGCTCTTGCTCAGGCTGGTCTCGAACTCCTGAACTCAAACAATCCACCCGCCTTGGCCTCCCAGAGTGCTAGGATTACAGGCGTCAGCCACCATGCCCGGCTAGTTTTCCAGTTTTTTAAACGATGACCAAAAGACCTAACTGCATTTATTATTGTTGATAATAATATTGTTGTTGGAGATGAATTTTCCTGTTACTACTCCTGATAACTTTAAATAATGTATTGTTTTAATTTGAGATTAGAAATAGAACAAACTCCAAAATGGTGATGAATGAAGTGTTTTTTGTTAAAATCATTAATGGGCTGGAGAAGAAGAGACAGAGCACTTTAATTTTGCTGTCTTTTCCTTCAAGTTTAAATCTTAACCAAATTATGATCTTTTTTCCGAAGAACTGTTTATAAGTTCAAATGTGTACATTTATTGCCATGATAAATTATTCAGTAGTTTTAAATTGAAAAAGAGTTACAGGGCATAATCCTGTTTTTTTAGAAAAGATATCTTTATGAAAAAAATCTGGAATATTATAACCAGAGCTCTAAAATGTGAATGGTTTTTATTTCTGGGTAAGCAGGATTAAGTGTTACTTTTGTTGCTTATTTTCAGTTTTCTGTAGTGGAGCTGTATTGCTTTTGTAGCCAACATGGTAGCTTGATTTTTTTACAACTATAGTGTAAGGTATCTAAGCATCTGTTTTTATGTTTTATATCTGTATGTGTTTCCTCTCCCTTCTTAGGAAATTAAAACTTCAGAAGAAATCGATGAAGCATTGAAGATAGCAGGCTATAATTTTGAACAATTAAGTATTGCTGTAAAAGTAAGCATTTTGAATGATTAAATTCTGTCATGAAGTGAAACATGTCCTCATTAAATGTGTACATTTGAATGTGTTATCACTGAGGTTAGAGTTAGCACTGAGTTATTAAGCATGATACTCTAATAATAGAGAAATATATAAAGAATGGAAAACTTTTGCCATGGCCTACAAGATTGATCTTATAGCATTGTTGTGCTAGGAACCTAATGAAATTGGAGCTTTATTAAGGAACCACTGACTTATACTTGCTTGAGCTGAATTTTGTTTCAGATCAGCATTGCAGACCATCTTTCCAACATTTGCTCATTATTTGGCTATATCCGCCTGCTGAGAGAGTCTTACTCTCTCTTCCCTGCTCTCCCCTGCCTCCCCCACCCAGAAAGAGAGACTCACTCATTTGATGACAAGAAACAAGCTCTTCAGCACCCAGCAACAACAAATTTACAATCAGGGAGTTCAAAAGGTTATAGTTGATTATGCTGTGGCTATTTTTTTGCATAGAAAGACGGGACATTTTTGATCAGCTAAAAGTCACTATCAAAAGTCATTTATCAAGAGAAATGAGAAATTTGATAAAAGTAACAAGATAGAGTTATGAAAGAAGAAAAACATTGAGGAAAGAAGGGAAAAAAGAATGCCATCTGTGATGATAAAGAGTTATGACAAGTACCAGATGTAGTGGAGAAGAGCAAATCCGTGGTAAACTAACTGGAGGTTAGGACTTCAACATCTGAATTTGGGATAGGGGGACACAATGCAACCCAAAACAGACCATCCTCCGGCCCCTCAACATTTCTGTCCTTCTCAGTGCAAAATACACTTGCACCATCTCAGTATCCCCAAAAGTCTTAACCCATCCCAGGATCAATTCTAAGTATAAATTCTCTTCTAAATATCGTCTCAGTCAGTATGGGTGAGACTCAGAAATTCATCCTGGGGCAAAATTCCTCTCCAGCTGTGAGCTTGTGAAACCAGACAAGAAGTTATTTGCTTCTAAAATATGTTGGTGAAACAGGCATGAGATAGACATTCCCATTCCAAAAGGGAGACATCGGAAGGAAAAAGGGTCATGGCTCCCAAGCAGCAGTACTTAAAACCGCTTAAGATACAAAGAGATGTGTGGAATAGTTAACATTTTAATTCAAGTGTGGCTTCTAAGTTTTTTTTTTTTTATCTAGGGAATCATTCAAAAGAGAAATTGAACTATCTAAAATGATTTATTTCCTGTAGTAATAAAAGGGGATAAGAAAAAAGTTAAGAAAACTTATCAGTGGATTTTTTAGGTCTTTCTACCACATTATCAGTAGAAAATGCCAAGAAAATGTGATCTCACTGACAAGTATCAGGATTTAAAGTTGATCCTTGTGACTTATCTATTTATTATCATCTTAATTCCCTCTTGTTATTCTGAAAAGTCTAGAAAGTACCTTTTACTTTGAAAATTCTACAACTTCTACAAAATAAGAATTCCAAATTAAGTCTTTTGTGTTGTTTTTCCCAGATGCTTGAACACATAGAGAATCAAACAAGAGAGGAGACAGAAAGTGTTCTAGAGGTTGTGGAGAAACAATTCGATCAGCTTTTTACTTCTCTTAATTCCAGGTAATAGCTAAAATATACAGATTCAACGAAACTGAAGTGTTTAACATTAACTTGTCATTTTATTCCTTTGTTTAGATTGAAGTAACGAGTAACTTTTAAACAAGTTTGGTCGCCACAGACTGATTTTTAGAACTTCAAAATGAAAAACAATTTGTACATTTTTTTTTTTATTTTGGCTGTTTGTCTTCTGGTCCCAAAGTTAACTGTTAAGTAAACAATCTTCTTACTTAAAGCAGCGCAGAAAAAAAATTTCAAAACCTAGATCATGTGGAATTCAGTATACCTGGGAAAATACAAACACACTTTATCTTATATTAATAAATAGTTCTGTCATTTTTCATGTGCTTATTTGCATCAGAGCAGATGCCTTTCTAACAGCCATTACTAAACAAATATTGCTATATTGCTATTGCATATCCATTACTTTTTGAAAAGCTCTTTGATATAATCTTTAATTACATGGTAGAGGTAAAGTAAGTGTCCCTCCATCATGCATTTCAAGAAATAGGCTCATAGAAGTTGTGACATGCCCAAAGTAATATTTTAGTAATACCACTTGCCGATTTGACTCTTAACATCAGTGCTTTTTTTAAAAAAAATCTCCTGAGGATGTCTAGAACATTGGCTTGATCTACTATGTGTGAATTGGTTGATATTCTTTATTCTCCGACTTGGTGCTGTCTCATATTTGGTTTTTAATTATAACATTCAAGTAATGTCATGTGCATGAGTTTAATTTTTTGTATTTTTATAGTGATCAAATACAAATTACCCAAAATTTACCTTTTTAACCATTTTTTCCCTTGGAAAGGTTTGCATTTTTTTCCTTTTTAATCATTTTTAAGTGTACAGTTTAGTAGCATGTGGTAATTGTGTGTTTAACTTTTTGAGGAACTGCCGAACTGTTTTCCACAGTGGCTAAATGTACCAACTTACTTTCCCACCCACAGTACACAAGAGTTCTGATTTCTACACATTCTCACCATCACTTGTTACTATTTTTTTTCTTTTTTGATAGTAGCCATCCTAATGGGTGAAAAGTTGTATCTGATTGTGGTTCTGATTTGCATTTTCCTAATGAATGGTGATGTAGAGCATCTTTTCATGTACTTATTTATTGGCCATTAGCATACTTTCTTTGAAGAAATATTTATCCAAGTCCCTTGTCCATTTTTGAATTGGATTGTTTACTTTGCTGTTGTTATAGGAGTTCTTTATATTATATATTCTGGATATTAAATTCTTATCAGATATGTGACTTACAAATATTTTCCCCATTCCGTGGGTTTTCTTTTTTTTTGGAGACAGAGTCTCACTTTGTTGCCTGGGCTACAGTGCTGTGGCGTCAGTCTAGCTCACAGCAACCTCAAACTCCTGGGCTTAAGCGATCCTCCTGCCTCAGCCTCCCGAGTAGCTGGGACTACAGGCACACGCCACCATGCCCAGCTAATTTTTTCTATGTATTTTTAGTTGTCCAGCTAATTTCTTTGTATTTTTAGTAGAGATGGGGTCTCACTCTTGCTCAGGCTGGTCTCGAACTCCTGAGCTCAAATGATCCGCCCGCTTTGGCCTCCCAGAGTGCTAGGATTACAGGCATGAGCCACCGTGCCCGGCCGTCTTTTCACTCTTGATAGTATTCTTTCATCCACAAAAGTTTTTAATTTTACAAAGTCCAATTTATCTATCAGTTCGTTTGTTGCTTGTGCTTTTGGTGTGATATCCAAAATACCATTGTCAAATCTGACATCATGGTGCTTTTTCCCTGTGTTTTCTTCTGAGAGTTTTATAGTTTTAGTTCTTACATTTAGATCTTTGATCCATTTTGAGTTAATTTTTGTATATGGTGCAAAGTAGGGGTCCAACTCATTCTTTTGAATTGAATATCCAGTGTTCCCAGCACTATTTTTTGAAAAGGCTGTCCTTTCCCCATTGGATGGTCTTGGCAACCTTGTCAAAAATCAGTTCACCATATATGTGAAAATTTATTTCTGGGATTTCTATTTTATTCCACTATTCTGTATGTCTGTCCTTATGCCAGTACCACACTGTTGTGATTACTGTAGATTTGTAGTAAGTTGTGAAATCAGAATGTGTCAGTCTTCCAACTGTTCTTTTTCAAGATTTTTTGACTATTTAGGGTCTCTTAAGATTCTATCTGATTTTTAGGGTGGATTTTTCTGTTTCTACAAAAAACATCATTGGAATTTTGTTAGGGATTGCATTAAATAGTACATTACTTTGGGTATTATTGACATTTTTTATTTTTAAAAAATTTTTAATTATGGGTACATAATAGTTTTATATCTTTATAGGGTACATGTAATGTTTTGATATAGGCAAATAGTGTGAATTGATCAAATCAGAGTAATTGGGGTATCCATCACCTCAGGCATTTATCATTCATCATTTGTGTTAGGAACAGTCCAATTCCATTCATTTAGTTATTTTAAAGTATACCCTAACTTATTGTTGATTAAAGTCACTTTGTTGTGCTATCAAATATTATTTATTCTATCTAACTATATTTTTTATTCTATCTAACTATATATAGTTAGATATTCTATCTAACTATATTTTAACTGTCCCCACTTTATCGCCCCCCACCCCTGCTACCTTTCCCAGCCTCTGGTAACCATCATTCTACCTTCTGTCTCCATGAGATTGATTGTTTTTAATAATTAGCTTCCACACATTAGTGAGAACATGTGAGATTTGTCTTTCTGCGCTTGGCTTATTTCACTTAATGTTCTCCAGTTTCATCCATGTTGTTGCAAATGGCAGGATTTCATTCCTTCTTGTGGCTGTATAATACTCCATTATGTATATGTACCACAATTTTTTTATCCATTCTTTTTTTATCCATTTATCCTAAGTGTCCACTGATGGACACTTAGGTTGATTCCAAATCTTGCCTATTGTGCATAGTGCTTCAATAAACATGGGAATGCAGATATCTTTTCTATATACTGAATTCCCTTCCTTCAAATATATACCCAGCAGTGGGTTTGTTGAGTCATATGGTAGTTCTATTTTTAGTTTTTTGAGGAACCTCCATACCGTTCCCTATAGTGGTTGAACTAATTTACATTCCCACCAAAAGTGTACAAGGGTTCCCCTTTCTCCACATCTCCAGCATTCATTATTGCCTCTCTTTTTGATAAAAGCCATTTTAACTGGGTGAGGTGATATCTCACTGTAGCTTTGATTTGCATTTCTCTGATGACTGATGTTGAGCATTTTTTCATATACCTGTTGACCATTTGTATGTCTTTGTTTGCCCATTTTTAATCAGATTATCTCATGTTTTCCTATTGAGTTGTTGGAGCTACTTATATTAATGTATTCTAGTTACTAATCCTTTGTCAGCTGGGTAGTTTGCAAATATTTTATCCCATTCTGTGGGTTGTCTCTTAACTTTTTTGACTGTTTCCTTAGCTGTGCAGAAGCTTTTTAGTTTTTGTGATCCCCTTTGTCCAATTTTGCTTTGGTTGCCTGTGCTTTGAGGGTGTTACTCAAGAAGTCTTTGCCCAGACCAATGTCCTGAAGCGTTTGCCCAATGTTTTCTTTTAGTAGTTCATTGTTTCAGGTCTTTGATTAAATCTTTAATCCATTTTGATTTGATTTTTGTATGTGGTGAGAGATAAGGGTCTAGTTTCATTCTTCTGCACATCAATATCCAGTTTTCCCAGCACCATTTATTGAAGAGACTGTCCTTTCCCTGCTGTATGTTCTTGGCAACTTTGTTGAAAATAAGTTCACTATAGATGTGTGGCTTTATTTCTGTGTTCTCTGTTCTGTTCCATTGGTCTTTGTGTCTGTTTCTATGCAAGCACCATGCTGTTTTATTTACTACAGCTCTGTAGTATAATTTGAAGTCAGGTAATGTGATTCCTCCAGTTTTTTTTTCTCAGGATGGTTTGGGTTATTCTGGATCTTTTGTGGTTCCATGTAAATTTTAGGATTATTTTTTCTATTTCTGTGAAGAATGTTATTGGTATTTTGATGGGGATTGCTTTAAATCTGTAGATTACTTGGGATAGTATGGACATTTTAACAATATTGATTCTTCCAATCCATGAGCATGGAATATCTTTCCATTTCTTTGTGTCCTCTTCAATTTCTTTCATCCATGTTTTATAGTTTTCATTATGTAGATCTTTCACTTTGGTTAAGTTTACTCCTAAGTATTTAATTTTATTTGTAGCTATTGTAAATGGGATTACTTTCTCGGTTTCCTTTTCAGCTTGTTTCCTCTTGGCATATAGAAATGGTACTGATTTTTGTATATTGATTTTTATATCCTGCAACTTTACTGAATTTGCTTGTCAGTTCTACTAGTTTTTCTTTCTGGAGTCTTTAGGTTTTTCTAGATATAAGATCATATCATCAAAAAAAAAAAAGATCATATCATCTACAAACAAGGATAATTTCACTTCTTCCTTTCCAGTTTCGATGCCCTTTATTTCTTTCTCTTGTCTGACTGCTCTAGCTAGAACTTCCAGTAGTACGTTGAATAAGCCTTTTTTTTTTTTTTTGTCCTTGCTCTGTTGCCCAGGCTGGAGTGCAGTGGTGTGATCATAGCTCACTACAGCCTTTCAAACTC